TGAAGTGCAGAAACCACTGTAAATACCGATGGTTTCTGGGCCTCAGAGAAAGCATTGGGAAACATAAGATTGTGGACGAACAGATGGCAAGAAGGCTCGTGTGGATCATGGGGGGGGTCTGACCATATATATATATATACATAACATACATGCACCTGCAAACATTTACATGCAGACGTTCACATGAACCCTCGCATACCTAGCTGTGCATACGTGCGCCCTAAACCCTAAACCCTAAACCCTAAACCCTAAACCCTAAACCCTAAACCCTAGCTGGCTGGAGCCTATAAGGAGGCCCTTGAGCCTGCTCCGCGAACCCAGCAGCAGCGGAGGCAGGGACAGAGCAAGACTCGCCATCCTCGGGGGCTCTGGGCTCTGCGAGTAGAGCGACGACCAGCGCCACTGCAACTGCCGCTAACACTACCGAGACGACGACGACGACGAAGACGATTGCAACCGACTTTGCGATTGCATGCGTGCTGCTTGCCTGTCTTCTTGCTCTTATATTGTGCTGATTATGGCTGTTGCTGCTCAGATCATTTGGTTATGAAGGTCATTGTTGCTACTATGTTTGCTGCTCCTGGGTTGCCGAGCCTTTGAGTTGCCTTCGGATGGTACGAGTGCTGCGGCTTTCTTGTTGGCCCTCTTGCTGCCAAACATCCAAGTAGCTGAAAACTGACAGCCACGCGGTGACTTGGCGGCAGAAGCTCTGGAAACCCACGGTTGAGGCTGCTGTTCTCCAAACACAAAACTCCTTGCTCCAGCCCCACCTTCCTAGGCACGTAAAGTCTCTTCAAATCCTTCAGAGGTGCGGCGATTTGGACCCGGCTGCACCTGGCACAACAGAGGAGGGTGCAGGGCTTGCAGAGAGACCTCGAGGAATGCTGCCCTTGCTTGTCGGGCCCGGCATCGGCCCGTTAGGCTTTGGCAGATTGAATTTGCAAAAACGGTCCCCCGCTCAGAGACGGCCACGATCGATGGGAACAGCTGCATCGGGACTGCAAGAGAATCCCACGACTGGGCAAGGGACTTTGACCCTCAACCCCTAAACCCTCAACCCCTAAACCCCGAAACCCCTAAACCCCTAAAACCCCCCAAAAATCGCCTAAAAATGCCCTAAATCCCTAAAATAGGTGCAGCTCCCAGCATCCTTCGGCTTGGTTTCAGGACCCCTTTCTTTGCCCCTAGTGCTCAGCGGGCCTCCGAGAGTCCGAGGCCTTAGCCCCCTGAATCCTCCATGGAGAGTGCAAACAAAACCTGAAATTTTAAATGCTTCGAGGCTTTGCTGCCAAAAAGCCGCGGGAAGTCGAGTACCCCCAGGAACACCGCAAGAGAGCCCTTGGTTGCAAATTCCGAAAGGTGCCGAAGCACCAGGCAGCCCCTGGGGGCCCCTTAGCCTTAGCCGCCCCCTAGCCTAAAGCCCAAAGATACTCTTAAAACAAAAAGGCCCCCGGGTCACCCGACTCAGGACAGCAAAGCAAAGGCCTCTGGGCAAGCGGCGGCCTGGCGGAATGGCACCGGGCGGCGTCGCGCGAGACTGCGGCTTTGGAGCTTCAGACTGGGGGGTTCTTTTTATGGGGTCAGGGGTGGTAGGGTTGATGATGTAAATCCTGCATTACCCACAAGAAGGAAAAACCATAATTCCCATAGTTCCATGCAGGATTGATACTATCAACAGTAGGGTCTCAGGGAAGGCTCGACTTCGGGGGTCTTTGGCAGAAGGATGCGAGTTTCACGCCCCGACTTTCATTCAAAGACTTGAGACGAGCTCCCCTAAAATGTGCTCCCTTGTGCGAGGGACAGGGCACGGCAGGGGCGGCAGGGAGGGAAGTCTGCAGCCCTCGGTGCCGCTTCGTTTCGATTTTGGGTTAGGGTTCAGAGGCTCCTTCAAAATTTTAGCATAAAAGACAGCACCGCAAGCCTGGAACGAGTTGGGATGACTCATAAGACTGCAAGTGCTGAAACCGTTGAAACCCTTAGATCATGTTGAGTATAGGGTCCCTTTCCCTCTAATATTTAAGGCCCATACCGCTTCGGCTGAGCAAAGATGCCTCCAGAGGCCGGGGGGTCGGCCACAGCAGAGCTGCTGGAGAGGCCAAAGACATGGGCTGGCAATCTCTCTTTTCAGGGCTTTCTGCTGCTTTTGTGATCCTGGCCTACACCAAGTCTGCCTGCTTCGGGTTCAGTTCAGAGGTTTCGGTAACACCGAGGATCGGATGCCAGTATTGTAGGAGCTGCACATCTTTTCGAGCATATAGGCTTGGATGAGCTCCTCGCCTTTGGGTCGGGCACTGTGTACTCTCACCATTTAAGCGCAGAGCCTGGGAAAAGCTAACATGCACGTGTGTTCTGCAGCTGGAGCTCAAGTTTCTGCATGCAGCAACCATCATCCGCCCTTGCTCGACACGGGCGATGCCATGTCACTGACGCTGGGCCGCAAGCCAGGGCTCCACCGAGCCGTGACGTCATGGCGCAGGCGTCCCCGGAGCTCTGTGACTAAGGGGGTGTGGACTGACTGGGCTTTTCATAAGGGCTTCTATTTGTTGCTCGAATAGGGGATTCGATTGCTGCACTTGCTATACTCATTCTCGCCGTTGGTTTGGCGGGTCAGCAATACTACAATACTATCATAGTCCTTGTCAGTACTGCTACATTTGTCACGACTAGTTTGAGCTTTGTTGCTGCTACTGCATGTGACGCGGACGTGTAAGCAAAATGCAGCTTGAAGCACAGGTGGCACCGGTCAGACGGCCTGGTCAGAGGTACTGCCTGGGGGCGGGGGTTTCGGACTCAGCATTGGATCTTTAGAGCAGCACATCCTTGGAACCCGAATCCCCGAACCCGAATCCGGCAGCACAACAGAGCCGTTTCGCGACCCGCGCCCGCAAACCCAATGTTCGGCCGTACCTATGATTTCTACTGACAACAGTTGGCCGATCAAGCAAGAGGCATCAACATGCTCCATACATACAACAGCATTGTACAAGCTAACGTCATCTCATGCAGCATGCTCTCCCGAGTAGAAGCAGGTCATACTGTTGCCTGCATTGAATTCCCGCCGTCTTGCCCGTGGGACCCAGACGCCCAGAGTGACAGTTAAGAAGTAAGCGATGGTGAGCCACAGCCTGCAAGTAATGAGGATAACAGGCTGGATATGGAACATTAAACCCTAAATTACTCAACTCTACGCCATGGACCAAACACCCTAAACCATGGCTTTGGTTGACCAGCCTCTGCATGGTCAAGCCGTTATAGAATTCATTCTGTTGTGAGAATCCGACATCCGAGCGTCTGCTGTACATGGTCCTAACAGGCCTGACAAGTCACAGGTCCCGGTATCATATCAAAGCATCATGATTAATTATAGTTATCCGGGTATTAGCGCAATACTGTTGGTGATAACAATAGCAGAATAATAGCACTAGAAATCCGAATACCAATGATACAGCTTCAGGAAATAGCTACAGTACTCGCAGAAGTGGTGGCAGTAGTAGCAGTAGCGGTAGCAACAGCAGCAGCAGCAGTAGTAGGAGTAGGAGTAGGAAAAGGAGTACGAGTACAAGTAGGAGTAAGAGTAGGAGTAGCAGTAGTAGTCGTCGTGTCGTAGGTGTCGTAGTAGTCGTAGTAGTCGTAGTAGTCGTAGTAGTCGTAGTAGTCGTAGTAGTCGTAGTAGTCGTAGTAGTCGTAGTAGTCGTAGTCGTAGTAGTCGTAGTAGCCGTCGTAGTAGTCGTAG